TATATACACTTCTGAGAAAAAAAGAAGAAAAAACATATTACCTAGATGAAAATGAATTCAGCCTTTGCTGCTTTGAGGGCTTGGCTTCAACTCCAAGCCTGGTCCAATTGCCATGTTGAAGTCAAGTTCCAGAGTTCGGTTTATTGGCCATATTTATGTCTGGGTTGAACAAGATCATGGAAAACTGAAGAAGCCAGATTCCTTTCCCACCCGCACTCCCTCCCCTTGAAGCAAGTCTTTGAGAGGCTGGCTGTGCCCGAGCCAACCAAAACGGCAGTTGGGAAGACTGGTGTGATGGTGTTTTGCCTTGACTCTTCTTGCCATCCCCATCTTTCCCCTCTTCCTGCTGTGTCAGCTCAGATTGGAAGAGCAAGCACAGCTGCCCCAGAGAGAGCTCCTGTTCTTTCCGCTTCTCTCTTTCCCTTCTGTCTCGCCCTCCTCCTCCTTCCCCCATCTCCCTGCCCTACTCTAAGGCATCCCCTGAGGGCTTCAGTTTTAAGTCTGAGCAGCTGTGACTTAGTCTGGGGCTTGAGCTGGCTTTGAGTAGGCAGGTGGGCCTGCAGCTGCAGAGGGAGGGCCAGGCTGACCCCGGAGCCAGAGGTCACCGTGAGGGTTAGAGCAAAGGGCATGGGAGCAGGGATCTCTGCAGAAGCCCTGGTCCCTTCTTGCAGCGAGGAGGAAGCTGGTAGGAAGGGGAGGGAAGATTTGTCAGAAGTTTTTACTTTGTACCTGAACCATGTGTATGAAACTTTGAGATATTTAATGTGTGAAAGATAAAACTTTGGAGAAAGAATTCCCTTCTCCAGAGCCACTGAATCCACAGACAGAAGTACTCCACAAACAAGAAGGTACTGGCAAGGACCAGAACAGAAGGAAGAGACCAGAAAAGGGTTGCCATGAGAGATAAATAGGCAAGTGGGAGGGGTTTTATTTGGTTTTAGCTTTGCATTTTTACCACAGTTGGTCCAAAAGTTGCAATTCTCAGAGGCCATCCTTAAATTCTAACCTTGGTGTGTTATTCAAAACAACAAGATTGTGTATTTGCAGAAATAAATACACAAATAAGCAAGGAAACTGATGTAGGCTTCTCCTCCCCTCCTGCAACGTCCAGAGAACCCCTCTCTTTTATTTCTGGTTCCATTTCTTCCCAGAATTTCTGTTATGTTATCATTTCTTTCTTCTTCATTTTTAAAAATATAAATCCAGAGAAGTAATTAGATATTTCTGTGAGAGTGGCCTTTCCTGCCCAGCCACAGGGCTTAATGCTGTCCTAACATCTCTCCAGGAATTATCTGGTTATTGGCCAAAGAATGTCACAGCTGGAAGGACCAGATGAGAACCTGAGGTCCAGGGTGGAAAGTCCCCTGCCTAAGACAAGGGGCAGGGAGGTCCGGGATTTAGCTCAGTGGCACCATGCTTGCCTCGAAAGCACAAAATGCTGAGTTCGATTCCTGGTACCAAAAACAAACAAACAAACAAAAAGATGAGGGGCAGGGTCAAAGGCAGAGACAAGACTCAAATTCAGCTCTTCCCTGAGCGTCCTAGGGCTCCTTCCACTATCACTGGCCACTTCACTAGTCACTAGTCGCCAGGACTCTTACCTGGCCTGATCTAACCAGCAAAGAGGCCTTTGGCCAACATGGCCAAATACTATCCACCCGTGGTGAGGGTTGTAAAGACGCAGTAAGAGCCCCCATTTGAGGGTTTCTCTGTTTTAGAGGCAAGAGTAGGACTGATGTAACCCAAAACTGGAGACAGCAGCTCCATCTTATTCTCACGCTTACTTCTGTCCTCTTCTCTACATAGTCTCACAGACAGAGCTGGCTTGGGCCAGCAGTTTGGTAAGAGAAATG